TTCCCCGTTGACACTTTCACTTACTATACAACTTATATCGTGCTTCTTCATTCCACTCATGCTCTTGCTCAGTGCCTGCACAGAGCCATCATTTCCGTGTTGGAGAATTGCACCGACAAAGGGAAAAACAAACTGGCAATGCAGGGAGAGTAATGAGATAACAGCACTATAAATCAGTAGTGATTCCAGGTTGTCACTCCCCCCTCTGGCTTCCCCCCTGACGTGACCATCTCCTGTCCTAGCACAATGAAGTCCCTCCTGTCCCCCCTCTTCCCTTGTCATTCGGGGTGAAAATGTTTTGTGACAGCTGCTCTCTGTAGGAGCTGAGAATGAGGGGAAGCCAGGCATGTGGAGAAGCTGGAGGACAGAGCGATACAAGTGAATAAGGTACACATCTGGCTCGGTGCCTGACTCACTATAAATAGCCCAACACACACACAATGAGACCAAGAAGTCCCAAGCCAGTGTTACTGTACTCCCTAAATGTTGGCTTGCATGGCAGCAATAGCAAACAAGGAGTGAACACACACACACAGACATTTTGATGGAGAACACAGCGGTGCACCTCAGGCCGCTGCTACCCCCCGCCCAGGTTGGTCAGTGCTACTCCAAGGTAATTATCAGCAATGATGTTGTTCTATATGAGCATGTTCTTCTCTTTGTTTTAATTGCCATCAAGAGAGGAGGAGGGAGGTAAATGCCTTATTTGCCTGCTAATGCATTTTAAACTGTTCTCAAAGAAGAGTGAAAACAAGGCAGTCGATTAGATCTAAAACCTCACGGCCCAGAATCAAAATCCCAGCACGGGAGTTGTGTTGCACATCTTCTCGTAGCAACTTCCCTCTCCCCGCGAGCGCGCGCGCGTCCGTGTGAGCGTGCGTTTAGAGATGCCAACTGCACGCTCAGCATGTTTGTGTGAGAGGGAGTGGACCTCAGTCGCACTGACGCACCCGAAACAGAGGCCTGTCCAACCTGTCATCCAAAAAAAAAAAAAAAAAAAAAAACTCCACACAAGCATAAAGGCAACAAAACAAAACAACAAGAGCCAAATTATCCTGGCAGACAGATCCAAAAGCAGACGAGGCAGTGAGACATAAACAAGTACAGCCACATGGCTGCAGCTGAAGGCTCAGAATGAACAGGAACAGCAGCTTTCAGACATCTGAGGTGCTGAGAAATTGACTCACCCTTGTCTTGTCACTCTCACACATGCAATATGTCTCTCCCCGAAAAAGAAAAAGAAAGATGTAGTCTAGGAATCTTGGCTAAGTTTAGTCAGCTTAATGGTGAAGTTCATGAATCACAAACAGATGATAAAAAATACTGTTTCTTCCTTATGGTAAAGATCAACAACCCCCCATTTGTGCTGGTTTCATGCTACAGATTGATAGTGATAGCAACTATTCTGAGTGCGCTCTTGATTCTGCAGTGTATCCCTTGGGTGCAGTGTGACTGAATCTCTTTGGGGGTGCTGATGGAGCTGACAGGCCGCAGAGGAGCATCTTACAGCACAGTCCTCCCCTTCTTCAAATAACAGGAAGAGAGATCAGATGGGAACACCGAATCCTTGTCAAATAAATACCCCCGCAGTCTCCCAAATATCTATCTCTCTGTGCCCCATTTTCCAATCCCCATTTCCTTTGACGTGCATCTGTTCCTGTTCTCTTCTGCCTTCTTCCCCTCTTTTTCCAAATAGAGAATGCAATGACCCAGCTGGCTCCGAGACAAGGATCATCCTCAGAGAGGGAAAAGAGACAGGGCCAAAGCATGTTGTCATGTAGAGCAGCCTACAGTAGCAAAAGCTTGGGTCAAATCACTGCCTGAAGGCACGCAGAGAAGCCAGTCTCGCACTCATTCTCGAATCCTTTGACTTTAGTGACAAATGAGTCCTCATAAATGTGAAAATCTGCGCTTGAAACAACAAATGATTGATTTCATTTGATAATTTGTTGTGTGACAAGCTGAAATTTGGCAATCTGCTGCGTCCCCCCCCCCCCCCCCAAAACATGAAGAAGCAAAAGGTCATGGTAAAATATCTTTATTGTGACACTCTGAATATGAATAGGCATACCGTGGCGACACAGTGAGAACCTGCTGCCTTTGCAAGCACACGAGCAGACAATGCTACACTTTTCAACCACGTGTTTCACAAGACACATTTAAAAAAAAAAGAAAAAAAACACCACTGAATTTCAGCGCGCACATTTCGTCTGGCCTGTGGATGCTCTGAATGTCAGCGTCTGAATGTCAACATTTCCACGCATCTCGCTGCTGCTGTTGAATCTCAAGGAATTTGCGCTGACGAGAGGAGGAGAGGTTAAGGAGGCCAGTGCCTGAAATTTCACACGAAGGCATGTTTCTCCATGTTTGCGCTCATGACTGACCTTGGCACTCCCGTGTTGCTGTAGTCCGCCGGAGGACAGCGACAGAGGAATGCTGCCTGTGACTGTGTTTATTTGGGCTGGAGAGACACTGCAGGCACAGTATTGTCCTGGTCTCTGAGGATTTGTCATGCATTCCAGAGCGGGCGGGGGGGGGATCATTTTTTTTCTCCCTGAATTAGAGAGCAACATAAATTTTTCACAAAGTTTTGTGAAGCTCATTAGCTATGCTTTTATCAAGGCCAGAGTGAGATCAGGTTTAGAGGTCTTATACTAAGATAATTAGCATAGGATAATCGCTCGGTAGAGAACTTCTGAGACAGAGTTTATAAAAAGACACGTGACTGCCTCACATACATAACCCTTAAGTCTGGTTGTTGACACTAGTCAACAACTAGTCAACACCTTTGCCCTCAATGAAAATACTTTGTACTTATATTGTATTTTGCTGTTGTTTTTTATTGATGACACACAAAAATGATTTCTAGTCTCTCAGAAATGGATAAACTGTTGCTCTGCGGGAGGTTGTAAATACTACGGAGTCCTGAAATTTAGATTCAATCTTTAAGATTTTGACTGCACACAGAAATTAGGTCAATTATTGGCAACAAAATAAGGGTTTTCTAATCTGCTTGGACAAGGCCTGTTATCTGTGCATGTCCTCGTTTCTATCCTGGCTCAGATTTTTTGGTCGAATGCTTCACGCAAGTCCAGGCTGAAGAGAAAAAAAGAGGGTAAAAAAAAAAGAAGTGGAAAAGCAGATGGAAGGATGGAGGACATGGTGCCTGAGGGCTGAAAATTTCATACGGAGGAGAGTTTGTGTCCAAGGACATTTCCTCTGATGGGAAACGCTGAGATGAAAATTTGAACGGCTTTACTTGTGATTGACTTGCATTGTCACCCAAAATTAAAATGTGAAACTGCGGTAATGGGAATGTGCTATTTTCATCATACTTTGTGCTCCCTGGTATTCAAAAAGAAAAAAAGAAAAAAAGAAATAACCCCCCTTTTTGGGGGTTAGGAATGGAAATACAAGCAGGATAGAAAGAAAGCATATTTTATTTCACAAATCAATTTGCGTTTGGTGGAACACTTTTAATATCAGTGTTGTCTATGCCTGCAGCGACACACTGCAGCAGGGTCTAACAGACTGACTCGGATGTCAACAACACTTCATCACACTGAAACACAATATTGCAATTTCTAGACATTTCAGAATACATTTATTACAACTGTCAGACACACTAAAAAGTCGACACCTTGCCGCACGGGTGAACTTTGCCTTGCGCTGCCTGTTCCCCGAACAGTTTTAAACGAAACCTCTTATTTGTCCTCATTTTGAGCCATTTCTGCATTTTCCTGTAATCTGATGAATCCTTTGTTGGATTTAAGTGTCCCGTGTTTATGTTAGTCTGAGGTATATGATGTGCAGACCCGTCCTGAGGCTGTATCTGCATCTTGTGCTCCTTTTTGAGCCGACTGTGAGTTACTGAAAGTTACACGCGCTCGCTATAAGCTGCCATTGCTACAGTGGTGAGAAAACACTGGGCTTTGGCTGGCTACAGCAAATCCTACCCTTTCTCACTGGTATTCACTTACAGAAGGAGTGAGCTATAGTCAAATACGCAGCCGCTTCAGCTAATACTGAGTATTAAGAATAACATTGTTGATTACGGGACATCCAAAGATCTGCTGTGATGACTGCTGATTTCTTCTTACGCAAATAACAGGAAGCAATGTGTAAGCCCATTCTGACATGTGACCGGCTGTGGAAAATAATTATCTTTAAGATGTAATTGATGCAACACCTTCCATCTTCTCTGCCCTATCAGTGTGGGTGATTAAAATACTGAAAGCTCCACTGCACAGTCAATACACACACCTTTTTCCCCCTCTCTCGTTGTCTGTCTCTAAGATCTCTTGATATTTGAGCTTTAATAGTTTTTCAAC